TCTCCCCTCTCTCTCTCTCTCTCTCTCTCTCTCTCTCACACACACACACACACACACACACACACACACAGACTGAAACTTTTATTTTCAGTTTAGAATTTCAATAACTTTCTTGTCCAAACCATATTTTTCTAACCTGATTGGACTACAGCTCCAACTTTCTTCCCATTGTAGCTGGAAAGTCTAGACATCATATTGTAAAACATTTGTCCAAACCACGTTTCTGTTTTGTTCTGTTCAAGTGATTTATAAGGAAACTTATCTTCTCACTATGATCTGTCCTCAGTGTTGTTTTATTAGTTAAATGTTATTTGCATAATTCCAAATTTTGCAATGCTTTCACCAGGATCATATTGTTCATATCATTTATTCTGGATTAACAACTGCCTCCAGAAGCAAGCATGTTTAAAAACACTTTTTTAAAATCATGCTGGAACACCAAAACTATCTATTTTGGATAGACAGATAGCTCCTGTAGTTTATAAGAATCTGGTATTTAAAAAAAGTAATGGCACTGATCCAAATGTAATACCAGATGAATACATAATTTGTTTAATGCCCAGGTTTTAATTATGCCATTTGCAAAACTAACATTTTTGTGTCTTACAGTCTATTTCATTGAACGATGAAGGCTTCCATTAGAAAATCCCAAACTAGCATATTTGCAAATTAGGTAATCCCATTATTGTACTGGTTTAGTAATACATTACTCTTTTCCATTACCCAGAAATATTTAACAAGTGTTGATATGTATAAATAACATAAAACACATTTATATTGTCATGTCATTGGTCTTGTGAAATTGTTTCTGCATTGAATACACTTTGCATTACCTTTGGTTCCTGTTATGTTTGATTATATACCCTGTTCATCCAATCTAAATGGCACACAGATACACACAGACATTGCCTATCATGAATAGATGTTTCTACTGTATCCCTCAGACTAAAGGTTTGTTTGTAGGGGTGATTGGTTGATTGATAGATTGAAGATTTGAAAAAGACTTATTTAGGAGGAGAAATGATTATAAAATTTTACTTCACAATCCTTTTTTTTCCAGATAACAGATATTCATAATTCAAAGACTCATGGAATTCATGTAAAGTTAGCCGCTTAGCCAAACAGCATTACGCAAAGAATAATACAATTAAAATAAAGATGTGGGATTCACTCTTCCAATGATTGTCATTGAACATTAGTAAACATTCACAGTATGAAGTCTGTCATAAATTATCCAGCATATAAAGTAGTGCAAAAAAGCAATCCAGTCACTTTTTCACTGCATCCAGAACATGTTAAATGATTTTCTTACTTGATTCATCCACATATTACTTAACAATTGCTTCAAGGTCTCAAAAGATTGTTATAAAAATAAACCATTTCTGGGGCTCGATAGCATCTTCAACAATTGAATATCCATTTTTTTAAAAAATCAACCCATCTTTAAGCAAATTAAGGTTAAATTTGGACTTTTCATAGAATAAATCTCCCCACAAAATTCTTAGCATTTTAAAAATCAAGACTATGGAATCCACTGGATTTTGGTAGCTGTTTTTAAAGCATTAACAAATGAATACATGGCTACTGAATGTCATTGTTTCTTACATAGTAAATACCTTGAAATGCTAACTTTTACCAGTGGGCAGCAAGTGAGGCAGAAAAACACAACCTCCTTAAAAATAAAATTGTTCTCCCTCATGTGCAAAACACCTGCATTCTAGTAAAAATATAATCTTTGAAACAACTTCATGTAAATCCCCCTTCACAAGGTATAGCATTTACTTGATACGTAACACAAGTTTACTAATGCTTTGTAATTCATGTTTAACCAGCAAGCGGCATTTTCCTATCTGCTTGTTTAAACACCTGTTTGCATATTTCATTTTTTTTAACCATTGCACATTTTGATGCATAAACTCATTGGAAATGCACAAACCTAAACATCTGTTTCCACAGATTTTGCATTTGTACAGTTTTGCTTTGTGGTATCTTTCCCATTTCCTGTGACCTGGCCCTTTTTCTCCTTTACACAAAGAGATTCCTTAACCCCTTCCTCCATCTCTAGATACTCTGATTTGACCTCGGTGGAAGAAGATGATGAACTTCGGAATTTCTTGAGTATTGTTGGGAGATAAGGGCAACTGACTGCATTTTGTGTCACCTGGGTCTGTTCTTCATTGTCAGTTTCTCTGTGGTAAAAATAGTTAAAGTTGGAGACAATCACTGGCACTGGTAATGCAATGGTCAGCACACCTGCAATGGCACACAGGGACCCAACAATCTTCCCACCTACAGTTATGGGTTTCATGTCTCCATAACCAACCGTAGTCATGGTCACCACAGCCCACCAGAAGGCATCTGGGATGCTCTGGAAATGGGTGGTAGACTCATCTGCTTCTGCAAAATAAACAGCACTGGAAAACAAAATTACTCCAATGAAAAGGAAGAAGATCAAGAGCCCCAGTTCCCTCATGCTGGCCCTGAGAGTGTGACCCAAGATCTGCAAACCCTTGGAGTGTCTGGAAAGCTTGAAGATGCGGAACACCCTGACAAGACGGATGATCCTTAGGATGGCAAAAGACATGGCCTGTTGACCATTACTGCCCTGTTGTTGGGCCAAATCTGTACCCAGGGTGATGAAGTAAGGCAAAATGGAAACAATGTCTATGATGTTCATAATGTTCTTGAAGAAAACGGCCTTGCTAGGGCAAGCAAAGAAGCGCACTGTAAACTCAAAGGAGAACCAAATGATGCAGACAGTCTCAACGATGAAGAAGGGATCGTTGAAAAATGTATACCCTCCACCTTGCAGCAGAAGAGTTTCATTGACATTCTCCAAGTTCTGTGTCAAAATGAGCTCTTTTTCATCTCTAAACTCTGGCAATGTTTCTAAGCAGAAAATGACAATGGAGATCAAGATGACCAACACGGAGACTATGGCAATAATTCGGGCTGGGCTGGAGCTCTCTGGGTACTCAAAGAGCAGCCACACTTGTTTTTTGAATTCATTTTCAGGCAAGACCCTGTCATCTTCTTCCTTGACAAAGCCTTCATCCTCTCTAAACTTGAGCATCGCCTCTTCCCCAAGTTCATAGAATTTCACTTCCTCACTGAAAATGTCAAACGGCACATTGACTGGCCTTTTCAAGCGTCCACCTGACTGATAGTAATATAAAATGGCATCAAAGCTAGGCCTGTTCCTGTCAAAGAAATATTCATTCCGGAGGGGGTCAAAGTACCTGCCCCGTTTTGTTGGGTCCCCTAGCAATGTTTCTGGGAATTGAGCCAAAGTCTTCATTTGAGTTTCAAACCGTAGGCCAGATACATTGATCACAATCCTTTCACAGCACTCATACTCACTGTAACGGACTGAGCTGTAACTTCCAGGCCCCACACCATCTTCTGGAGGCTGCTCTATAAATGAAAACTCATCTTCTCCATCCTCGTTGTTGTAATAGAATATTCTTTCCTCACCTTCATCTTCTCCATCCACATCCTCATCTTCTTCCTCATCATCATCCTCACTCAAATCCTTGAGGATTTTCTCCTCTGAGCCGCTGAGTAGTAGCAACTCAGAGCAAGGAAAAGAGGCACCAAATTCACGAACACCAAGACAATGGGTTGCTTTCCTCCTCTGCTTCCTTTTTCTACTGCCTTGATAAAAGCCACTGTGTGATGCAGGCCCACTTTGAGATAATGAAGCCCCCCGATTCTGCTGTTGATGGTAATGATGATGTGGACCACCTCCTCCTGCAGAAGTCCCCGTTTCTACAGCTGCTGTTGCAGCTGCCACAGCTGCGGCTGCGGCTGCCCTAGACTGCGCTAATCTCTCTCTCTCTCTGGCCCTTGCTTGGGCTGCATAGCCATAGGGCAGGTGGTTGTTGCAGCCAGAGCTCTCGGCACTTACCATGGCTACCTCCATTTTGTATGTGTTAGTTTAGAAGACTCAGGAAGGAAAATAAATGTTTGCCTCAATAGTCATCCCTTGGTGTTCTGCATGAAAACAGCAAAAGCACTGGGGTTTGGAAAACAATTTCTCGGACACATAGGCCTGTCATGTTCCCATATTTGCACATTTGCATATTGCTCAAACACAAGATTTCCATTTTCTGTTTATTGCCCAGAAGGCTTGACACAGCTTAGGGAAAGGTGTTTGTCCAATTATAGCAAATAGTCCTCGGATGTGGAAAGGAAATATTTCTGGACCATGTCGTTTTTCATTAGAGATCCTCCTGCTTAAAGGATCTTTCATGGTTTAGGGAAAATCCACAGAGACAAGTTCATGATTTTTTTGCGAACACTTTGAATCAAGAAAACAGTGCACCGAAGTGAAGTATGAATGACAACTATTCAAAATAAAAAAGGAATTGGATCTTGAATGCCTCAGAACATCCAGTAGCGGGTATTTTCACTACTGCTCAGTGAAGGGATTGTGCATCATTACATGATACAAAAAGTTGGAGCAACTTCTCATGTTCGCTTTCTGTACATAGTGCGGAGGTCTTTGTACACCCACTTTTTCCAGTCCATCAACAAATGTTTTAAGCTCAAGAAAATATTACCCAGGCAATAATGGTAGCAATTGTGGCAAGAAGAGGAGGATGAGGAGAAGGTTGAAAATCCAATTCTATGTGCCCCATTTGAGGAAAGGAGTAAATCACCCTTCAGTTGTCCTCATGCAGGCGAAGCATTTAACCTGAAGCACAGACATTAAAAGAGGGGAGGGGAAGAGAAACAGATGGGTCATAATCCAGAAATACAAATGATGCTGTCTTATATCAAAAGATTCAGATTTGCCTACTTACAGTAGTCATTATTCTCCATCTCTATACACCCACTCACACTGCACACTCAATATTTCAGTGTACATCTATCTATATATAGATAAAACTACCCCCCTCCCCCACATAATATGCAGGCATATACACACCCACATCTCATTCTTTTATGTCAAGGACTGAGTTTTGAGTACACATCTACATTGATTGCAACATGCAAGTAACTCTGCATTACATAATATATGTGGGCTTAAGCTTGTTTATAACACAGGTATGAATGTCGAATAGGTACAGTATAAGTATAAACACATTGAGATGCACTGTTTGATTCTGTGCCAACATACACTGTTTTACACAGATTGTTTTATTTGCCTTGTGGAGAGATTTGACACTCATGACATTTGACATCAAACATGTTGAATAAGAGTCATGTTATCTGTGTCTATATGGCTATGTCTCGCTCTCTATAATTTAGAATTATGACCATGGACTGTTTACACATAGGCAGAAAAATAGAGCCAGGCAAGGGCCATAACTATAAACAAATAGATATATAAGGTGGATAATAATTATATACCTAAATGCTATGCCACAAACTGTTAAGAATGCGTTCATGTCAAATATTTACAGAAAAATACCTAGCCACTGATGCCAGCGGCAGCCTACATATTTGGAGCACAAACGACAAAGCCGATCTTCGAAAATACTTTCTAAAATCCATTCTTCCCCCCGCCCTTTCCCACCGGATTCCTCTCTGTCGCTGAAAATGAACGAACGCAATCTTGATTGAAAAGGCAAATAAAAAGAAGTCTTGGAGAGAGAGGAGAGAGAGAGAGAGAGAGCACATTGCACGAAGAGAAAGCCGAGGAGTCGAGGCTTCAACCTGCGCACAGAAACATCCACACACATTCAGACGCTTAGCATTTCAAAGCGTGCTTCGAAGACCACCTTCTTTGAGGGGGGGAAATAGCCATGGGAGAGCGAAATCGACCCTCGGCATCACGCAAGGGGGGGATGGTGAAGGGGGACAACGACACACAAACATTCCTGCCTACTTACCCTTCAGGGCAGCGACAAAGAGGCGCTCGCGGATCGCAGAGGGCAAGGTGGGGAGAGGGGGGGTGTTCCCCCCGAACAACCTGTTTTCACAGGTGTAGCTTTCAGGGAGGGGCGGATAGTAAAGGCGACAGAGCGGTGGCTTCTCTTCGCGTCTTTCCAGGGCGCCGCGAGAAATGCTTCCCGCCCGGCGATTCCGACCGTCGTTTCACGGGAATTTTGAACGAGGGCAGGGATTCAGCGACCCCTTCGCTCGGTTTCGATCTTGCCAAAATTAGCCATGGGCGAAAGAAGCGAGAGAGAGAGAGAGAGACACCCCGGATTCCAGCAGGAAACAGATGTAAGAGGAAGGGAGCGACAGGAGAGGCTGACAATGTGGCGCTCGCTACCAGATCAGGGGATGCGCAGAGTGCCGCTGGCTGCTCTTTCGAAGCCCCGCCGTCGCGCCGAGCCGTTGTTGTGAATCGCCCCTTTCGAAATAATCTCTCGCCCCGAGGCCGGGAGGCTGTTGCTATTGACAAAAGAGCCGGCGCTGCGCTGCTTAGTGGGAGCTCCCTCCCACCCGGAGCTCAGGGCGCGCTGAGCCGCTGCAGCCCGGCGGCTGGAGCAATTCCGCCGTCCGAACTCACTCCCTGGAGTAAGCGGCGTCCACTTGTTGCTCTCGGCTCGCACCTTTTCTTTATCCTTAATCCAACCACCTCCGGTTTCTTACCGGCCTCCCTCCGGGGAAAGGAAACTCTTAGCATAGTCGATCAGGGTTCGGGATCTATCTGAGCGCGGATCAATGAGTTCCACCTTCGGGGCGCGTCGTGGGGGGGGGGGCGCCGAGTTGTTGTGCGGCGCGCGCTCTCCCCCTCCCTCAGCCCTTCGCATCGCAGAATTCTCAATTATGTTTACCTATCCAACTGAAGGACAAACGGCCTGAGCCGGGTCTGATTTATTCCCTGAGTTTCTTAGCTCTCTAGGGGCCTCTAGTGGCAAACGATTTCATTGGTATTCACAACCATTAATCCTTCCCTTTCTTTGGAATATAAACACTAACCCCCACCCTTAAACACACGAACACCCTTGGTTCCAGCCTCTCTTCCTCTTCCTGTAACTTCTTGAAGGGAAACTTCAATAATTATAGGTATTCTTATTATTATTTTAATTATTCCTAAATCATGCACCCAATCATGTTCCCAGATTATTAAAAGTCACCAATCGCCATTTACCACCAACGAGAATGGCTAAAATGGGTGATAATTTTTCACAATCCCTACTTTTTTTTTCAAAATATGTGAGTGGAACGCACATGTTCTTGACAAAAGATTAAAGTTGGTCAGATCAGGGAGACTTAATTTTTCTGATGGAAAGGCATTGAGGATCTCTTCAGTGGCTTCCAGAGAGCTTTCAACCATGAAGNTAGGTCGGTCCAAGTAGCTATTCAGAAACTCTGGCATTGAAGCATGCAAGTCTTAAAGCTGTCAAGTTACAAGATCCTTGCCAGTGGTGGGTTTCAAAAAATTTTGGAACCTCTTCTGTAGGTGTGACCTGCCTTCCGGGTTCACTGGTGGAACCTCTTCTAACCGGTCCGGTAGATTTGACAAACCGGTTCTACTGAATAGGTGCGAACTGGTAGGAACCCACCTCTGGAAGGAATTGAATAAGGACTGAAAAATGTCATAGAAATATTATGAGACCTCTCTGATTATTTTAGTTTTCATTACAAATTGTACTGCAAACAAGCAGGGAAGGGTGGGAAGAGAAGACCAGGAAGCTTCACTTCTCGGAACAGCCTTGGTTCTGTCAAATCCAAATGGATGAGTGCCCGAAAATCTCAGCCATCATTAGTCATCCTGGGCATGATCCAGATACACTTAACTTTCAAAGTCCACTGTTTTCAATGGAAGAATGCATTTGATTAAATGTGCTAAAATGTGTTCTTAAATGTCTCAAGCTAAAATCAATGACATTTTAAAAGTATCCAAATTTAGCTTGATTATGTCTTAAGTTTGATTTTTATCACCACTGTTTTCTATGACTGCTGAAGAAAATGATTGTGGGGCCACTTAGGAAGAAAGCTCCCAAGTAGTAAGAAACTCATGCACCCCCAAAGTTGTGTTCCTTTACGGATTCTGTGATTGTAGATGCTTCAGTGCTCTAGACTCCAAATCTCATCATTCTAGATACTTTGACCAAAGTAAACCATAATGGAATTTTGAAGCACCAGAGGCAATAGATTCACTGTTCATGCTCTAAGTGTACCTGCTCAGCTCAATTTATTTGTACAAGGATTGACATTTACTTCACAAACATTTTTAGAAAATGAAAGTTTGATGTAATTTAATAGCCTAAATACATGCCCATAACACAAATGGATTAGCAAGGTCCATAAAATACAACCAAACCAACTGCTGAGTAGATCTATGTATATTTGTAGGCTCAGTTTTATTAATTTAACTGGTTTTTTTAAAAAAATCCTGCATTTCTTTTCATAATGTCCATCAAACAGAATGGCATACAGGTGTACAAATAGCAAACCGATTAGCAAAAAGAACATGACATAATTAATCAGTTAGGGTTTTTTTTTTTTAAAAAGGTTATTTCTCTATAACCAGATGAGGAAAATAAAACAAGCTGAATGTGCTTCAGTCAAATATGCTTGTAGTCGCAAATGATCTAGCTAAACCAGCCAGGAAAATGTAATGAAGATGTTAATGTTTGGTTATTATTTATCTTTATTTTGTAGCTGTTTTATTGACTGCTTAATGTTTATTAGATTGAAGATACATAGAAGTCACAGTAAGAAAAGCATGCATACCTTTTAATCAGATAATTTCAATAATTATAGTGTTGTATAGAAAGGAGGAAGGAAGGAAGGAAGGAAGGAAGGAAGGAAGGAAGGAAGGAAGGAAGGAAGGAGGGTCGAGCCATCCTCTAGTACTGTATTGTTAATAGGAAAAGTATGTCTTATCTGCTGTTTTTTCACTGCCGAAGCAGCATGACAGTCAATAATAAAACATCAAAGTTATTTCCTCACCATTTTACTTATCTTGGAATTCATCTTGTAGCTTTGCAGCACTTGTGGATAATCTGTGGGCCAAAGCTACCTGTAGCCTTCAGCGTTCTCCAGGACAGTCCACTTGCTAAATTCTCTTTCAGTGGGCCTGACCCACAATTTTCTTACAGAGGATGGTATTTGGAGTGATGCCCATCTTCTTGTTGTTCCCATGTAAACAGCACAGCATTCTTTGGAAAACTGGCCAAGCAGTTAGGGGAACATGGCTGTGATGGGAAGGGTGCTCCATCTTTTTTTCCCCATGCAAATTGGGTGGAATGTGATTTAGAGAAGAAACTAGCAAACAAACAGGGTAATTCCTTTGCATTATGTCTCCTGGGATGAATATGTTCTGTATGACTATATAGGGAGTCTGGGAAACAGAAAGAAAGAAAGAAAGAAAGAAAGAAAGAAAGAAAGAAAGA